AAATGTCAATACAATGTCTAGCAAAGATAATTAGCTTGCCGTTAGTTGATGGTATAGGGTATGATGTATACCTTGATCATTTTTCACTTTGTATAATCAGATTTATATCAGGATTGTCTTTATATCAGCAAAAAAATATTCCTTTTGCTGGTGGAGTATCTAAGGTGAAAGTCACTGGCACGGACCCGGACCCAAAATCGGAATGAAACCGTTTTTTTTTCTGGACCGGAACCGAAACAACCCATATTTTGTATTAAACACACTGTTCACGGCTGAACTGAAATCCAGATATTTTATTTCAGCTTTATCGGTAGAGCTTGTAATGTTTGAAATAAATTAATACTTGGGTTTCTGAGCATTTCTTGGAAATTTCCCCCTCGACAACAAAAAACAAAAGCGACTTTTAGATTCAATGATGGTTAGGGAAATGCCAAAATATATAATTAGATGACAATAATTCAGATCGTTTAAAACTTTAAACTTCTTGTATCTTCGTTTATTTTTTGTTTATGTCAGTTTTTAAATATGTTTCTAACTCTTTTCGTGAATAATAAGTTTTTAGTTATTAGTAGTTGGTTATAACCGAGCAAAAAGCAAATTTAAAGCCGTTATGGACTGAACCGATGTTCTTAAAAAAGTGCAATTCTTCCAATTCTGAGTCTGACCCGGACCAACACGATGTGGAAACGAAATCATCTGGTTCTTCATTAAGCAATGAAATGGGAGCCCTTTTCATGCATCCAGATTCAGAGCAAAACGTTTTAAAAGGAATTAACCAGCATTTTATTCGCATGGTGCATTTATAGCCCTTAACAAAATTGAAATTTTTAAAATTCCGGTGGAACAAAAGCAAGAAAAAGCTTAATCCCGAAACAACTCAATGTTTGTTGCGATCTACGAGGTCAAATATTAACAAAAAAATTTTAGAGGATGAATATTATTTGTTAGGTCCAACTGACTTTTCAATCGTAAGGAACAAACATTGTAGGCTTATACACTGCTTTTAAAATCCATTTTAAGTGGAAATATTTTAGTTCTTCAAACACCAACAACAAAAAACTTTAAATTGGAATTCCCAACAACTCTTCAAAAGATTGTGAGAGTGTAAAGACACAAACGGAAAAACAAATTGAAGAAAAAAGTGCTAAAGTCAAAAAACTATTACTAAAAGCACAGTATGAAGCAGTGGATTATTTGGGCATGTTCTAGCTTGTGGAATACAAGCAAGGATAACGATAATGTGATTCCTAAATAAATTAGCCTCTATCTTTGTTCTCGTTCGTTGTATCGATATTGACAATTTGACAAAAATCTAAAGATTCAAAATATATATTTTATATGCGATCCTTCTTCAAGCTTAAACAGCAGCCAGCAAATTTAGTATTCCAAACATATTCATATCATAAGGATTAAATTCGCAATAAAGGCGTTGGAATTGAGTGTAAAAATATTACATGACTGCGCAATATTATAGACAGGAAACATGTGTACAGGGAGGAAAACCCATTTCAAATTTAATCTATATCGAGGATTTAAAAGTTAGGCACGTATCAAATCGGACAACGCCAGATGTTGTTTGGGAGCGGGTCTCCAAAGTAGCATACCGATATTATGTACACGGTTTACGTTCTCGTAATGACGACTCGACTTGCTTTCCGATACGAGTTTGTAACTTATAAAACACTTAGGGTAAAATACGATCTTATTGGAGCATTCGAGAAGGGACGATATATTTTTAGAATTTTTATTATAGCAATTTAATGATGAACCACTTTTTACCAATCTAGTCGTTTTACCGTTCACTCGTTACAAGAAGAAGTCAAGTTAAAATACATATTTCATACAAACAATTATAAAAAAAGATTTCATTATTGCATAGTTCATTATCGCATGGGTTTGCAAACGAATGTTTTCATTTTAACAAATTATAGAAAATTATATGGGTGTGACACCTGAAAGAACATTAATTTGTATACATTTACTAAAAGTAGAGTTTGCTAATGCTGTAGACTTAGCTCAATGCGATATTATATTAAGTTGTCAAAAGTACCAGGAGCTATAAAGAAAAGTCAACAAATTTCTAAAAGGACCTATATTTGAATGTTTTTACTCTTCCTATCAACATATTCACTATCTTAAATGTGAACACTATTTTATACGCACGTGTATGATAATGTGCAGACTTTTAAATAAAATGTTGGAAAGTCCCGAATTCGACTTTGCAAATATAAATATAATCAAAGAAATTGCGAAATATGTATTTTAATAAATGTAACAGTGGCGGATGGTACGTACATAAGCGAAGTAAGGCTGCAGAACACCAAAAAAAAAACAGAAAAAAAAGCAATAAGGAATCTGATAAAAGTATTGTTATTATCAAATAGATTAAACATAGCAGTTAGATTTATTTCCCACGTTTCTCTTTCAGTTTACGATATACAGAATTTTTCGGAAAAATATTATTAAAACTCTTTTAATAAAAATACTTCAGAAATTGCTACTTAGATGGACTGGAACCAATTGAATGACGAATTTTGAAAATGTTTGGATGACATTATTTTCCCAACGAAGTTTCATATCCTTTATTACGAGAGAACTTTTTTGCGATGAAAATTTCGTAACTTTTCGCTACATTTTGCAAGACTCGCTCTTATCACTATCAATAGCTATACTAAGCCGGCTTTTTCTACCAGCGTCTAAACAGACGACGCAAAGAAACTCCTTTTGCATAATCTGTTATGTATTTTTGTAAAGGTTTCTAAGCAAGGAGCCACTCGTTCGGCAATAGCCTTTGCAAAAATCTTGGGCCATTTTTCAGCTTATCACTTAAAATATACTTATTACTCTTACTATTAACCTGAAACACTTTGGGGTTAAAAACACCTAAAAATACCAAAATTTAACGCTAATCGCTCAGAATATTCTGTCCAACAATCCTCACAGATCTTCCGCTTCGCCGCTACTAGTTTCGCGTTGATTGGCAATATAAAAAATGTGCATGTTGCGTGAGTGTTATTTTCAGACTAATCCTGACTGAACTGATGAGAGCTAATAGACTCGAAACCAGTCCTGGGGATGCCTGATGTTAGCTCTTCTCGAAATACTACCTACTTAATTCCTGGTTTCGAGCTGTTGTGCTCCGGCATATTTTTTAATTCAAATTCAAACTGCGTTGACAAGCCATTGTTGCACTAAATGGCACTATTAATACTAATTTTACTTCAACCAATTTTTTAAATTTATTTTATGCAACTTTGTAAAACCTGATTCATTGAATATGAACATCTTTTTTTTATGTGAATTTTGATCCTAAAAGAACGTATAAACAACATACAATGTTACATGCTGTTATATGTGCTATTTTTTATTATATTTTTGTAAAGTTTATATTGTATTATAAATTAATTTTATAAGAAACAATATTTTTTGTATGTTAATAGAAAATCGACTTAGTCTCCAAAATATGTATCAACAACGCATGTATATTTGAATTTCAAAGGAAAATTTAACTTATTATGTCTGGGTCTGACAAGTTCTTTAGTTTATAGGTACTATTTTTTGTGTGTTTATGGCGGCTAGTATATTGCTTTATTTTAATATCTGAATAACTGTTAATCGTAACCCAAAACGAAATGAAACAAAGGAAGAAAACATAAATACTTATCAACTTAGTTAAACACAATGCAATCTGATGACGATATTTTAATGAAGTGCTGCCTGTAAAAATAACAAATTTTATAGTGCATAGTTGAATTACACAATTACATTGTTATAAAGATGTCGGTCACTTTATATAGAATTTGAACTTGGCGTATAAATAATACAACCAATGCGCCATTGTCCTGAAGAACTGCACTGAGCACGACAACAAAACAATTAGGAATACAAATACAGAGAAGGCAAAAGTATCGCAACACAACAAAATAATAGTAAAACATTTTTAGAATATATCGTGGGTTTAAAGCTAAAAGTGATCAAGTGCAAAATTTCCGTGTTCCACAAAAACAGGTGCACTAAAATATGCTATTAATGACCAAATTTTCAAAATGATTCTGTTATAATTTTTGGGTCGGTTTAAAAGTGCATTTACCAAAAATTGATAATTTAGACTTTTTTAGGCCAGTTTTAGCTTCAAGTCCACGATATATCACAGAGCGTCTTGAAAAACATAAAACAGTATCTTGTTAAAACGCTTCAAAATTACATACAAATCGAAACTGGCAAAACACAATAAACAGTATCTAGTATTTTCAGTATTTAACTTTTGTAAATAGTAATTATTATTTTGACTCAAGGCAAACTTCTTTTGTTGCTTAAGATCGGGTCTGAGTTAGTAGGGGCGAGAAAATACATAAAAACATAAGCAAATTGTACGGCTTTACGCAATATGATTAAGATTTATAATTTGAAAGTAATATTGATACAAAAATTGATCACCTTCCATCATCTACACATTAATCCTGGTTTATCTTTGCTGGTCTTTCGATACAGGCATCCAGCCGCCGATATCAAACATTGCGTAATCTTTTCATGAAATTTGCTAAGTTTTGTTTTAGTCATTCCTAAAAAATTGTAAATTAAACTGATTTTCTAGATGTACTATAAATTTATAAATTGTCAATTTTTGCTCATCTAATGTTAGAAATAACACTTCAACAAACATCTTCATCAGTAATTGTCCGGACGATTAAGTCTTTTTATTTTTACATTCATTTGCTTTTTAAAACTTGTTTTTATTCAGCTCAAAGCCTTCATCAATGATCCACAAAATTAAAAGTTTTCATGCACATCTTCACGAAGTTTGCTATCAAATATTTAGTATTTCATATTTTAGGTAAAATAGGCCGTTATCACACCTTTTTATTTGAGAATTTTTTATTATTCAAGGTGCCACAACTCTTTGAGTGCTCAGTGCAGTTGCTATTTTTAATCTGGTTAAATATTTTATAAAGTTTTTTTTACTTTCGACTATATTTAAAGGCTCAAATAAATCAATTACTTTTTATTATGTTCGTAATCAAAGCAAACGTGCGTATGCGTATGTTCACGAAGCACCTCTGGAATGGGGATCGCATTCAAATATTTAATATTCAAACTTTTAAAAAAGGTTTATCCAAGAGGCACAGTTTGCTCCTTTCTCAAGTTGAGAATTTTTGAAAGTATTCCATATCACATGTAGATTTTACTAAAACTCATCCTTATCCGAACCAGCTCATGTATCGTAACATTAATAATCCGGTATCTCAAAAACCCACGATATATCTTTGTAGATTGTGGCATGAGCTGTAAACGTGATTGTTTTGCTGGTTCGAAGATAAAAAACCAACGACACAAAGCGTTAATAAAATTTTTAAATGCATATTCTTCTCTCACCAATTTCTGATATACGCTCACTATATTTGTGGTTTAAAGTGCGTGTGGGGGTTCGCTAATGACAATGAGTGAGTGTAACTTATTTGATCGTTTAAACTTCACTTGTCTTTGACACGCGCCTGATAACAAATGAACAATTATGATAGTGAAGCTGTTTGTTATACAGGAAAATTTCATATCTGGTAGTTGACCATGCAATGTGAAGATACTTAGAAGAATGGAAGGTGAGAAACGTTACATGGAAGTAGTACTTTAATGCACTTGTTTTGGGCGATCTCCTGGAGATTGGGGGAGAAATAGAAGCGGTTCCTAATAGCTGCAGGAAGAAATTCACGCAATAAAAATTGTAACTTGTGTGTGTTCATTTAGTGTATAAGTGGATATTTTTTGGAATTCTCCAACTTTTCTTACTGTACTTTATGTTTTATTGTTAACATAACTTTTTAATACATATTCCTTAATTATTGCCAGTCCGAGTCTTAGTTAGTACAGTTTACTTAGCCTCAAACATATCAGTTTAGCCCACAGAATAAATTAGTCCCATTAAATTATAAAAGTAAGTGTTCAACATTTAGTTTACTAAAGATAATGGGTCAGACTTTGATCGAGAAGAAATCGATAGAAACATCTACCAGTCGGAAAATTTATAATTTAATTTTATTAGCTGTTTTTTGCAGCACTGTGACGATTGCTAGTAATGCAGTCTTCGGACATCCTGACCCCATGAGCCCTGATTGCTGAATAACTCATATAAGAAAACTGTATGGTCAAAGCAAATCATGCAGAATCAATATATTATGTTATGACCTCTTTGCCACTTGAATGAAATTGCTGACTTTATGTTTTCGATTTTTGCTTCCACTTCAATGTAACTACTAAATAAACATGCAATTACAAGATTATCATTATATTTACATTGTGTGGGAAAGTGTAAAGGTTTCTCAAAATGTTTTTAAACTGCAACCGGCGATCTATCAATATTTGATACATTATATTGAACATAAATTTAAACAACAACATATATACAGGGTGGATTTTTATCTTGAAACGCTTAAATATTTCGGAAACGAGTGATCCGAGAAAAAAATGTTTCAAATAAGAAGTTAATATCTGGGAGGGCGAAGGTTATTCGTGTCAGAAAAACAACGCCTACTTCGACCTTGTAGGCTAGGGAGGGGTCAACTTGAGAATTTCAAATGGTAACCACAACATTTTATTGAATATTCGAATAGTACGTTAAAAACTGGGAATAATTTATCTAAAAAATTTTCTTCGATTTTGACAGGTGGCGCTGTAATCCAATTATCATTTTTTTGCTTTAGATCACTCGTTTTCGAAATATTTAAGCGTTTCAAGATAAAAAAACAGCACCCTGTATATCTGATTTTATTTTTTGTAATGTAAATAATATGATAATATTTTTTGTTTCGGATTTTTTCTCTGATAAAAGCTTTCCAATTATCCGATGGTAAATTTGCGTAATCTTCCATACTCCTATAATGGGTTGTTTTATAGGCTAATTTTGGAGGCTGGAAATGGTTGTTAACTGTTAATTGTTGTTGTTAATTTTAATGCCTCAAATAATTTCGCGTAGGATTAACTTTTCTTTAACATTGAGTTTACATTTAATAGAAGTTTTTCGTTTTCTATCACCTGGTGTTTAATACGGGTATTTTCATGTCTATTGTATTTGCTGCTCGATTAAATTGCTATAAGGGTCAATGTAATCAATATTCGTTTTCAGCAACTAAGACTTTAAATTTAATAAGATTACTTATAAATACTTTACTGTTTGTTAAAAAATTACGAATGATTCCAATACTATCCCTAAGAATGTTTTATTCGGTATTATTTATTTTGTAAAAGTTGTACTGTAGTTGCCATTTCAGGTTCTAATTCAATAACTTCTAATGCAGTTCTTACTTTTGTTTAATCAGTAAAAGTCATAAAATGAGCTTATGTCGTACACAATGAATATTTTCAAGCTTCAGCATTTTGTGAAAAAGTCTTTATTCCAGCAGAAATTTGTCAGAAAACTTGAAAGCATTAACCAATACGGCATTAATTAATTTTCCAGAACACCGGGCATCAATCGCATTTTTTAGATTAAACAGACTAAGTATAATTGTTTACTAATCGTTCAATTAAATGATCGATTTTGCTTACGAGTATTGATTAAAACTCAAACATAATTTGACCCCTAATCAAAAACAATAATAACTCTCTGTATTTATATATTTATACATTTTTTTTAAACATTATATTTTCAATAAAATGTTTTCTTCAGTTATGTCGGGCTTTTTTCTTCCACTCTGTATCAACGATAGACCGACTCTGACGCACAGTGCGCCAACTAGTCTTAGTTCAAAGAAAAAATACTCCCCCATTTATTTCATATTAATTATCTCCTATCAGCAACTAAAATTTAAAGAGGAACTCAACGAGATATACATTTAGTTGAGAATTGAAATTGAATAATGGCGGTTTTAGGCCTTCTTTCCCAGTTACTCTTATACATTTCAGCTGCTTTAGTTACTTTATTTTTGTGCGTATATGTGTACTTTAGCTATTCATTTACATATTGGAAACGAAAAGGCGCTCCTTACATAAAGCCCAAATTTCCCCTTGGTAAGTTATATAAATTTTTTAATTTCATACAATTAATCATTAGTGGTCTTATTTCAATTAATTGCTTATTAACGAAAAATATTTGTAGAATGAGCTGCTGATGAGCAACAGTTTTTGCAACAAAATAGAGTTTTAATTTAATTTCATAGGTTTTAAATTATAAATTTGATTAAACCGGCGTTTCAAGCCTCTTACCTAAAATCTGCTGCAATCAGATATGAAATAAGATAAAAATAACTCAACTATTTTTGCTCCTTATATTTTCTAAAATTTATTTTCTTCAAGAAAACTAGATATCTATATTTCCGAACTGTACATTTATAATCATTTGAAATATCTATGTACTTAAAATTATTATATAAAACCGTTATGTTTTTGGATGCGCATTGATCCCAAATAGACTTTTTCCTGATGCTTTTTCATGTTTTACCTCGTGTTTGTCGCAAAATTGAAACATTGTACTAAGCTCTCTTGCTAGAATGGTGTTTAGCAAGGAACGAAGGATTTTATTTAATACATATTTTTGTTTAATTGAATAGTTTTGCTTAATTGAAGGAAAATCACACATTTTCCTACTCATTTTCTTTTAATTTTTCTTACGTCTAATTGGCCAAAACGTAATTTTCGAATTTCCTCTTCTAATTCTTGTTTTTTGCTATGCTTGCACTGTGCACAACATTTAAGCCTGTTTCCAAACAGTTTGTCTCTATTATTGGACATTTGCGTTGTCAAATATATATTTAATTTCAAGCTCCTTCGTTTGCAATTTTTTTCAGCTCATTTATGCATTTCTATCAGTTATCAGTTGCGATTAATCTGCAGACTTATCTAGTTATTTCTGAAACGCTAGTACATTTTTTTTGCCGTTTTGTCTTCTTTTTTGGAAAAGAAATAGCGCTCAATACCAAATTTCCTGTTGGTAAGTTGTATGTACAATTCATTGGTTTTTTAAATTGAAATAAGTCAAAAGTCATTAATAAAATATTTCATTGTTTAATGAGCTACTGATAGGCAATACTTTTTTCAATTGGTAGCTTTCTTACCATCTCTATAAAATTATAAAAGTGAATGAACGTGTATATCTGGCTACATTTTTAAAATTTGGTTCAATAAGCCTATAAAAAATTGAGTGAAATTTTTGTATTGAAAGCATATTTGATTTCCAAATTGTGCTTTGCTAGATATCACGAAATTTAATAGGGCATTTAGTGCAATTTTTTTTTGAAAACTTTAATTTCTCAATGGTGCAAATAGAGATTTACATTTGCTAATAGCCTGGCGGCTTTTCCTTGACAAATATAGCTCGCATTCAAGGCGTTATTTTATCATTTTCAACTCATGGGAGCGCATTAACTATAGGGAAACCTATTTTTAATAAAAAAGATAATAATTTTTAACAAGATAAGATAATAATTTAATAAAAAATCCTAAGAAGAAATTCAATTAGCTCGCAATTTTGTCGCAGTTCTTTAACGATTTTTTACAAAATACTTCAATTACCACACTATACCATGCCATAATTGTGATTGAAAAAATTGTTCATTGAAAAAACAATAGAATTTGTTCATTATTTTTGCGTTTAATTAGGTTAAGAACTTCGATCCATTATTTCGACTAAATCCGTGAAAACTTTTGTATTTATTTCCGGCCCTTTGATTGAAAATTAATTACCAATTATGAATGTTAATCCTTCATGTTTCTTCTTGTAACTCACAACTTTAGGGCATTTATTTGCTCCATTCGCAATTATTATGGTTTTTATATAACAATTGCTTTTGTCAATTTTACAGATTTCTAGAGATTTTCCCCGATACAGAATTGTATGCTATAATGTATTCTGTTTTAGTTGGAAATATTTCTATTACTTTTCTTTAGTTGATTTACTGACTAATATACGTAAATTCATTTCTATAATGAATATACAAACAATAAAAATATAATTGTTGAAGATATGAAAATAACAATGTAAACATTTGTTTGATGTTGTCTTTTATGTCTGCTTTAGGAAACAATGACTGCTTCGGTGCTGAAGCCCTCTCTTATGGACTGGAAACAGTGGATTGGTATAAAGAGGCGAAACGGAAGGGACACACAATCGTAGGGACATGGAATTACTCAAATCCTGTGTTACTTTTAATAGATCCAGAGGTCATCAAGAATGTTTTAGTCAAGGTTTGTTAATAGGGTTTTGTTCCTAATAGACCGTACTTTCACACCACTGTTCAACAGTGCTAACGGGAGAGGGAGTAATACCGGTATTTTTTTAGGATTTCAATCACTTTACGGATAGAGACTTTTTCCATAATCCAAAGCACGATCCTAAAAACGAAAGTATTTTTGTAGCGGAAAATGAGGAGTGGAGACAATTGAGGCAGCGGCTATCGCCAGTTTTTTCAACAGCTAAAATGCGAGTCATGTTTGAGCTCGTAAACAAATGTGCAGAACCAATGATGCAGTTGTTTGAAACATATTCTCAATCCGGAGATCCAATGGATATAAAAGATGTAATTGTATTTTATTATCTGATTAAAATTTTTCAAATATTATTTCTTTGATGCTTGATCGGATGATCACAGTTTGAAATTAATATGTAATTAATACTTTAGATAGTTGCCATGTTCGCAACAGACGTTATTGGCTGCGTAGCATTTGGACTAGACGCTGGTAGCTTCAATCCTCACGAAGCGAAATTTCGTCTAATTGGCAGGAAATTCTTCGAGTCAAATCTGAAAACCAAAATTCATTTAATAATTGGCCGGATAAATGTAAAAATTGCCCAATTTCTTGGTTTGCGTGTTATACCAGATTTCCTAACGAACTTCTTTACTGAAGTTATTGCCGAAAATGCAAGATTTCGTCAAGAAAATAACGTTAGAAAAGCAGACCTGATGCAGTTGCTCCTTGATCTTTATGAGTCCAGCAAGGGACAAAATGATGCATTTACTTTTGATGACTTCGTTGGAAATGTTATTGTCTTTTTTATAGCAGGTTTGTATATTTCTTAAGAAAACCAACAATTTAGATAAATTGAATGAGGAGCAAGACAATAAAGCAATTTGTGGGTAATTCAGAAAACTATTGAATTAGAATTGAAGAATATATTTTCTTTATTTCAAACTCACTTCAAGTTGGTTCAACTATTTTACTTCTAATGTAAATATTGCTATCCATAGATAGATTTTTAAAATTAATTTTCACTAAAATTTTGTGAGCATTGTGACAGTCTATTGTCAGTCGCTTGATAATATGAGGAAGTAATATTTTAATTTTAATATTACACTTTTTGTGGCCACAAAAAATCTTTTATGCAAATATGAACGGAAAATTCCAAATATCGAGAACATTTTTTGAATAAATTTCTGCAGTATTACCTGGAAAATAAATCATCAATATTTAAAACACTTATTCTGATTAACAACATTTTCACTTTAAATTCCAAAATTTTCCGCTTTCTCTTAGAAGAGACTTAATTAAGTTGAAAGGAAATACTTAAACTAGTTAAATTTTGCAAAACACTCTGAAATCAAAATTGATCAGAATTTACAACACAACTTAAATAAAACAGGATAATTAACAAAAAAATATATCTTTCACTCAGATTCTACAGCAAAAGTAAGACAATTTAAATAACTTGAAATGAAGACGAGAATCAGAAAGGGCGGTTTAAGTGATATTTTCAACAGTTCATAATTATTATTCACTTTATCTGAATATTAAAAGAATTATTTGATGCCATTGCTTATCCGTCGGTGGTTTTATCTGTGTTTTTGGTATTAAAAGTATTCTTTACTCTTGTTCTTCAAAAAGTTTATTTCTGAATGTTTTCATAAACTGATATGATCTTTATAAAATAATTAATTGTTTCGCTATTTACTGAACTGAAATTAGATGAATCTGTTAAATGGAATATTTAAATATCACGCATCTTTCTTAATGGAAAGCTAATGAATAAAGCGTAAAAAGTTTCTCAATATAGATTGTCTAATGCAAAATAAAATTTTATAACATATTTCTTACTCAGGCAAATTGTCGTTGAAATTAGATTACCGTCAAAAAAACTTGTCGCGATTGTGCTCCGCGACGAGTGCAATAATTACAGCATAAAAAACATTTTAGACAAACATTTTTAAACACAATGTATCGAAAAGCCGAAATTAGAGAATATAAATTAATCTAGGCGTTCTCAAATTTTCTATGTAACCCCTTGAAACCCACTTAGTTGCCATTTGAAATATTTTAACTCCCATTTAAAGTCTGTGTAGCGTTTACTATTATAAATTTAAATATAAATTTTACGTAAAACTGTAGACTTAATACTCTTTTAGGATTTGACACCTCATCAACTACAATGCATTATGCATTATACGAGCTAGCGAGAAATCCAGACTTGCAAGAAAAAACTAGAGTGGAAATTGAGACGGTGCTCAAAAAACATGGTGGTCATTTAACATATGAATCTTTCCAAGATATGACGTATCTTCGACAAGTCATCGACGGTGAGTGCCGGTGAAAAAATCGAATTTTGTTTAAAGAAATAGCTACGACTCAATAGCGGAGGGATTGAAATAAATATATGGATTTTGCTATTTTAGAAACATTAAGATTGTATCCACCCGTTCAAAATGTGGCCCGATTCTGCGTTAAACCCTATACTTTTAAAGACAGTAACGTTACTGTTGAAAAAGGTGTATCTGTGGTCGTTCCACTAGTTGCACTAGGCCGAGATCCTGATCACTATCCGGATCCTGAACTGTTTGATCCAGACCGATTTAGTTCGCAAAACAAAGACAGTATAAATAAGTTCACATATATACCTTTTGGAGAGGGCCCAAGAAATTGCATTGGTAAGAGACAGAATGGAAAACGTCTAACTTGATTTCACTTTACCTAATGCAATTATCAAAGTTCTTATATTTTTATAAAACGAATTTAATTTCTTTCAGGAAAACGCTTCGGTTTGATGCAGTCATCAATTGGGCTAATCAAGATACTGAAAACTTATAAAATAACAATAAACAGCAAAACAAAAATGCCTCTGAAATTGAAACGTGGAGTATTTCTGATGCAGCCAGTTGATAAATTATACGTAACAGCCACCAAAATTTAATTTGTACTCTAAAACTCTAAATGGTCTGTTGTCAGTCAAAAAAACTAGTTTCAGATAGTGTGGGTTACTTACTACAAATATGAATTGCGTGCAAGAATTAAAAATGAACGAAGGATCTAAAAGTAAATCAAACGCAGGACATTTAAAGTGATTCTGTATATTCTGAAGTGTACAACACTGTAATAAAAGTTGAACAACAAAAACATTTTTATTTGTTTTTTTTTTGGAAAAAATTGCAAACTTTTTTGAGGTTCTAACTTTGCAATTTTTATACAAGCATCATGAGACGCTTAAAATGTTTTAATGACTGACTCAATTTTTTTTAACAGACATTTGTATTCGCTAGACTATTTAGAGTAATTGTTGCGTTTTTTATCTGCTAATCTGCTACGATGTTAGAGTTAAACAATATAATTATCAGTAAGTACAGGTCTAGGCATGTGTTAGTCCCAGGCACTCCCATGATCGGCTTTGCACTTGTTAGCACATTTGTGCTTGCGACAGTATTCTTTAGTTTTGAATGTATGTATGTGTGTATTCTCAATTTTAACTTGTATTGTTCAATAAATATTACCATTTAAATGAATAATTAAGCTATTAGATATATGTGCTTTTTGGTTAATTTTTGACAATTACTAATTAATATACTGGGCGCCAACGGAAATCTACCAATAAAAAAAATGTAAATGTTTGCTATGTTTAATGTCAAGCCGACCAGATTATTTGAGCTTTGAAGCAACTAACTGCACTCTATTTAATTAAATTTCATATTGTTTAACTCTACTGCGACAGATACAAATAAAACGCGAAATAAACGTTTTTCAATTTAGCAGAAATTATGATTCCTTTTCGTTTAAAATATTTTAAAGCATTGAAGAAGCAAATATTACCTAATCGCAGAATAACTGCTAAGCTCTATATTATAACACACTTGGTAAAAGTGTTTTTAAAATTGTAGAAATGTTGTATAAAGAATAAAAGAAAATGTTTTTAAGATAGCATCAAAAAGTTTTTCATGTTTATCTAAAACAACTTCCAGTTTACCTTTTCGTATATGCTTTTCCAAAAGTATAAAACCTGTATACCATAACTAAAAGTAGTCTGAGTTCAGTATGTAGAGTTCTGCATTTTTCTGCATTTTCCAGCTACTAATGCATACTTTCTGTTTTACACATGGCGTCTCTTTATCTATACAGGGTCCTTAGGATAAACGGCGTTATGTTTCACATATGAAAGACAATAAAAACTAAAGGAGAAGGTGCGAGACGCCTAACGAGATGTTTCCTAACAGAGGTACAGGGTACAGGGTGTCAAAATTTGAGAACAAAGTTAGTTTATTTATGATAATTTAGAAATCAACTGTTGAATAATCAATGTTTTAGGAAGTTGAGAAACTAACAATAATAATGCATTTTAAATGAATAACTTTTTTCTTTTTTCAAAAGTTAAAGTAAAACAATCTAGTCTTCAGTGTGATATCTTTTCGCAAGCCCTGTCCCCAATATCCGCCGGTGTTTGATATAGAACGCATACTTCGATAACTTTTTGGCTTCCCTTAGCTTTACATAAGGTGATGTAGATATGCAAAAGTCTAAACTTGAAATAAACGCGATTTAGAACATATCTTAAAGCGGTCAGTGCACGCATGTGTCTTCAAACCTTGTAAATGCCCATCTCAATAACAGATATGTTTCTTATGTTCAGAGAAACTCTAGTTTTATAACTGTTCAATCTCAGAAACTGACCTTACGGAATATACTTATATATTTTAGGTTCCTAAGAAAACAGTGTCTCCTTGCCTTGATTTACTTCTTAATTATGCGCCTGAGTAGCTATTAGCTTATATCGCTTTCTTTTCAGGATGTGTCCCAGCTACATCATTTTGATTGTTTTTATTATTCGAAGAAGTTTTCAGTTTTTTAGTTTATGCATATTATCATATTTGTGACTCACGGGATCCTCAAAATGAGACACTTACAGCTCGATTTTTAACATTCAGCATACATGAAACCTCATAAATTTCGGAAAAGTTGTATTTTTAATATTTTAAAACATTTTGTGGAGTTACGGGTTGGATCAAAAAAGGGTCGAGAATGTATTGTAAATGAACTATTTTTTTAAAAACTTTAACTGTATCTCTGTTAGAAAACATGTGCGCGCAAACATTTTTGCAACCTTTGATTTTTAAACACACCGAAATTATAGAGACACGATTCTGTTCTTGTTTTCGATTGATTTCTCAATTACAAATGTTTTTTTTTTAATTAAAAGTGTTAATAGCTGGAGCAATTTCTAATGCTAGAAATAAAGTTAATTTTGTTTTTGTGACTCGATTATCTACATTACGTTCTGTATGTGTTTGCAACTGCAAGAATGAGGACAATGTTCGTGTGTGCAAAGTGGATCGAAGATTTATAAATAAAACAATAGGAAAAATCCAATAACCGATGTTTCCGTTTTTAAGTGTGATTCCATTTCCGACAAATTTGGAAAATTTCAGATTCACAAATGCTCAACTGGCTGCTTATTTAGCCCAAAGGCATTTCTTCCAGCTACTATTAATTCAAGAGCATTTGTGGATTTTTCGAATCCTTTGTATGAAAAATGTTCCTAGTTTTACAGCTTACAAATGAATAATAACACTACTAACTTGGAAACTTTGGCGTGAATATTTCAGTGGAATAAAACGTAATAACCACAATTCTAAAATATCAATTTTTTTACCAAAGAAGAAAATATAAATGCTGGTCTAGAAAAAAGAAATCCAGGACTCTTATACAATCTATCTATCATCTAGTTAAACTTAAAGACAATATTTTAATAGAGTGCTACTTAAAATACAAACTTTTGAAGGTAAACTGATAAAAATTGAAGATTATATTGTTTTAAAGATACGGTCACTTTAGTCGCTTTAGCACATAGAAATTGAACTTGGTGTATAAATAAAACTACCAATGCGAGTACAATCGCAAAACAATCAGGAATAAAACAAATGAAACACGTGCGTCTTGAAAAACATGCAACGTTTTGTTATCTTGCGACTTTTGATATGCAAAACTTTAATTTCTTGTTAGTTTGGGTTGGTCGACGCCTTCTTGCAAGGCTGGCCTAAAAGCTTTAATTATTTTTTGGGACGTCTGCAGTTTATACTGTTTAGTTGTATATTGTTAAGCCACAATTTATCTGTTACACCTACACGCAAAAGGTCCACTTAATAGAAAATGGCAAATTTTGAATTTCAATTCCTTGATTTTAAATAGATTTAAACAGTTCCCGTTCATTGTATGCGGATAAACATGAACGCAGTAAAAATTGTGAAGAATAGTAATAAAAGGTTTGAAAATATATACAGATGGAAACTGTTGCAATGCAACAAACAGTATTTAATATTTGTAAATCAATGCAAACTATTTTTTTGCGACTTAACAACATGCGTGAATAAGTAGGAGTGGATAAAATTGTCTCATAAACATCGAAATCGTAACTCACAATCAAAAACTTGCCAGATACCAACTTTTATTCAAATAGTGAGATTATTCAACTAAGTAGTTGAATAAAGGGAGAACCGAAACAAAATACTAACACTTTATAGGAATGAAGGGAAATAGAATCAGATCTATATTGATACGGATAACAGTGTTTTTGGACATCAACGCTTATAGGAAGCTAACGGACAGAGAAAAGACTTACTAAAGAACAGCATTACTATCATATGATAGTAATATAAGACAGTTGAATTATCTCGTTTAAAAGAATATAAAAAAATTGAATTTTACTTTCAATGCAAAATTAACTCTACTGCTAAAAGTGATTAGCGTTTCCAAATTAAAGAAGTAAGGTGGTAAAAAAGTATGTAACTTAAATATATATTAAATAAAAAGAGATACTTGAAGTTTTGTTAACAGAAAAAATTCAAGGCTTCATACGTTTATTGCTGAGTGAACATTACAGGTGGATATAAATGATCGGCATAATGCAAACAATATTTGAACAGATGCGATATTCAGATACCGCATTTTAAAGCTCACGTCAATATCAGCTTTATATTAATTACATTTTTGTAATTAATATAAAGTGACTTACATTGTGAAATATGATTAAGCTTTCTAACTTGCGAAGTAATACTGATACCAAAATTGATGTTCTAAATAAATCACCTTTCATCTTTGGAACATTAATCCTGGTTTATCTTTCTGTAGCTTTCGATACAGGCTTTCAGCAGCCGGTATCAAACACGGTATAGTTTCATTTATAAATTTGCCAAATTTTTTTTTGGGGTAAATAAAAAACCATTTAATAATTGAGTGGGTCAGGCATTTCTACAAAATTAAAAATGTAATTAGTTTTTTTTGAAAGAAAACTCAGTGTTTTGCAGACAAACAAATGCAAAGTACAAGCACATTATGGTGAATAGCTATAAGGAGGTGAATATTTGATTAGTCGAGGAAGTTTGAAGACCCAAGGTCTTTAATCACCACAAGGTTTATTCAATAAATTGTATTTATTTCATGTTATTTGGTAGTACCCAAAAGTGATCAATTAATAATTTTCGTTTCACGGTATATACACGCTATAAATTTAAATATTATATAATTTTTTAACAGCACTTGGGCAGACCTTAAATTTTCCATAATGTTTTGCGTACGCTTGCAAATAGCGAAAATTAAATGAAATCAATGGCATATTAAAACTTGTTTTGATTCAGCTATCATTGTTCGTCAAGGTTCCACAAAACTGCTATGCAAATTTTCAAATATACAGGGTTGCTCATTAGTGCGTCAAAGTGCGATATCTCAGTAAATATGAAGTTTACAAGAAAATTCGTCCAACGAAAGTTTTTCACGT